CGTACATGGTTCTGAGTGAATAATATGAATATATATATTAATTTCTTAATTCCATTGGCTTAATTGTTGAATACGAATATGATAAAAAGTAAAATTTACTTACCAAACAGATTTCCAAATATTTTGCGATATAATATTCAGCCAAAAAAAACCAGCAAGATAAGCGTAATACATTGTAAAAGCTACAATTTGAAAATTATAATTAATTATTTTCCATAGTTAAACTCATTAATATTGATTAGGATAAATTTAAATATTTTTTACTGGAATTATATTTATTAATTTTTATGTAAATGATTCTTAGGTAATAAATTTTTATTATATTTTTTTCAACTTTTATCTCATTCAATTTCTAATATTTCATTTATTTATTATTTGGTTTGTTATCGACTACATTTTATCCATACATTATTTTGTAAAAACTTAAGCCTTTTAAATTTACTAAATTAGTTATCATTGATTATAAAGTTATGGTTAAAGTACCAATTAAATGTCATATATTGAATATAATACAATTTAATGAACAAAAATGAAGAAAATACTATAATCATCTCCAATAAATTTTGATGTTTCAGTATTTATCCTCTTTTCTCTCACTCTTCTCACTCACGTATTTCTCATCGTCTTAGCTTTCATTCCGTCAACTGTAGTAGATAAAATATTATTAAAAGTAATATTTCCATTCAATTTTATCATTGAATTTACCGACTAGAAGACAAATGATGTATTCGACAGATGGAAGGTTCAGTTGTTGACTGCCGTTAAGAAAAAAGGCGACCATGAACGAGGCCATCATTGACATTATTGCTTTATCCTGGACGTCCCTCATTTCTGGCAGGACTATATAGATGAGCAATGTCAAAAAAAGAAAGAGACTAGAAATTATACTGCACATGCCGAAGAAAATATCTCGCCATTTTGGAAAAAGTTGAATTTGCTCGTCAAAGCAAATCAGGGCTATTTCGGCTCCATCGTTGGTTTCCTCGTTCGTTACTTTTCCAATGCAGTACCTTCACATGGAAAATATTACTTATAAATAGACATTATGCAATCTATCAGCTTCTATATGTATAGTAATAAAAAAGGAAAGATATAGTGAAAAAAATTAGCCAAGTAGAACTTCAAAATAATATACATTATTGAGTGTTATGGTTTTTAAACCGTAATAAGTAATGATTTAGATAGTTGTTATGTATATAATTGCAACAAGATATTCGTTTATATAAATTGTATTTTTTAAAAGATATTTGCAATAAAAAAATGAATAGCCAAATCGACGTATTTTTTAAATTAAATATTACTAACACACAGGCACGCACGCACACACACACACACACACACACATATATATATATATATATATATAACAATGGAAACAATTTCTTAATTCATCCACTTGTCATTCTCTGGATATTCAAAAAGAAAAAAAAAGAAAAAAAAGAGAAATTTGAAATAGATGTTGAGAATAGCAATTTTATTTTATTCTTATGCTATCGTTGAATGTTTAATTTTTTAATTTACATTCAGTCAGCTCATTGTTAAAGGAAAGTGGAGTCTTCCTCAGGGAAACAGTAGTAAGGGCCATCAAATTTATGATATACCTCGTGTATAATTTGTAAAATTACCTTTCGGTCGATACATTGAATATTAAGGATTTAAGATCCTTTTCAAAAACGAACCAACTGATATTCCTTTTTTCGTCAAGTCGAAATTTATTTTGCAAATTATTCTTTGGGCCAATCTTGTAGAAACCATTGGGGCAGTTGATCGTAACTAAACTACCATCGCTGCAGTTTTTCGATTTGGGTATCCAGAAGGACTCGGATGGACAGCATTTTGGTGGGGATGCGTGCGTCGAAAAACATAGAAGACACGTTACGAGCAGACTTTTATAGATGGTTCCTGCTTTTCAATATTCATTTGTAATCTTTTATCTCCTTAAACTCATTTTATATTTTTCATAAAATTATTGCTTGACTTTATATACATTAGCGCCATACTGTCATCTTTTTTAAATTTTTTTTACAAACATTTTCTATTTGTAAATTTTTTTATTCTAAGGATAGTCTAGCAGCATAAAATATTTATACGTATACTGACGTACCGGACGTCAATTATTTTGTTTATTTATGATTTTATCAATTTGTTATTATTTACAAGAATAATGAATCTGATATATATTAGGGATGAATATTGAAAATTTTCTTAGAAAACGCAAGAGTACTCCAGATTGTTTTTACTTATTTAAAATATAATAAACTCATAGCATTTTAATAATATTATTATTATTAAACCGTGTTGTACCAATAACACTACAATAATTGTGGAAAATAATATTAAATTATAGTTAAATTAATTCCAAGATTATTGTATATTATATATGTACAATAGAATAGAATATGTTCATTTTCTTCGAAATTCATTTTCATTCATTTTTCATCAACGACTTTGTTTTATTATAATGATAGATAATTATGAAAAGAATTTAACATAAATTTTGTCAATGAACAGTAACGTACAGATATATTCATTCGCACAAGATGATGTGTCATAAATTTATCTTTTGAACTTTTCATTTAATAGATATGTACATATCAAATCTATTCATGCAATACTTTATCTACATTTTAAATAGACAAAACATTATTAACGATGACTTGGTGTATAAATGTAAATAATATTTTATTTTATTTTTTAAAGTGTATATTTATTTGTATAATTGTATTTATAACGTATATATATGTAATCATTTATAAGCACATAAATATTTTTTTAGCTTGTTATCAGAATTTTATCCAATTATTACAAAGTAGCTATTTCTGAATTTAATTAATTGAGTTTATGCTATTATTTAAAAACTAATTAGTGAAATGATTCATTCGCTTTTAAAAACAAAAAATAATCTTTATCCTCTGAAAATTACAAGAATAAAAAAAAACGATTGTGTCAATACTATTCAAATGATTGTATCAAAAATATTTTATCGAGTCAATTTGTTTATTGACAGTAATTTATCGATTGTAATAATTACACGATTATGAATAAAAATGAAAGGAAATATCATATTGATAATTTTTTCTCTCTCTTGATAATTTACTATCTGAGTTTCCGTACTAACAATTCATTACATTATTCCAAGAAAAAAAATTTATACAATAAAATAATAACTTAACATAATCTAAATTTGTCGTTATGAACATCATTACGTACCTTGTAATTTGGTAGTTTTACTTTTCTTTCCATTATTCACTAATTCCAACCTATTTTCTAACATCGTGTCATTTCCCTTTGCGGCTATGAACACTTATGTTTGATAGAGCAAATTTTGCTCACATTAATATCGACAATAAATCTTCATCTATTTATTAATATTACGATACTATTCCGTTATTTACCTTCTCGTTGATCAACACAACAGAAACAATAAAAAAATTCAACGATTGATTTAACATGCAATTACCACTTTAATAACGAATCCTTCTTTTTTTTATGTAAAATACGCTCGATAATACAGATTCTTTGGATTATTTTGGGTCTTAAGATTCAGAATCACATTTTTTTCCAATCTATTATAAATGGTGCGGAATTCCAATGTGGCTAGTGTTGCTTCTCATATGCACAATAAATATAACTCGATTCTACCCACACATGATAATACAGTCACATTATTATCGCACAGTGACAGTGCATCTCTTTGTTTAATCGAATACAAAGAAGCAAGATCAATCGTGCATTGACAAAATCAATTTTCACAGTCGGAGCGTCAAAAGACGTCTCATTGTAGATTAGATACGGAACAAGTGACTTATTGAATTATTAATTAGAAGGCGCAGAGGAGTGCATCATGTTTGTCGCTTTATATAGGAAATGAATCGGTTTGAGCGCGGGGCACTTTTGAAATCCGCTTTCGAGATATCGTCAACTATATGGGCGTTTTGTCCCCACCACGCAATTTATGCGATTTTGTCCTTCTCTTATTTCATCCTTTTATTCTTTCTTTTTTTCTTCTTCTTTTTTCTTTTACTTTATATTCGTCTTTCAATTATCTGCCACAATTTGTGTTAATTTTTATGAGGAAGACTATGTTGAGCCTATGCAAGAATATTTTCGCACATTCATGGATATTAATTAAGAGGTATTTAGTTGACATAAGCTGTTGCAGCGGATCTCTGACTGTTTCTTTTACTTTTCTGTGTTTTTTCTTTTAATAAATATCGATCGGTCTATAATATATGTATGATTACATCGCTCGTTTTGACCTTCATTATTTTTTTTTCTCTTCCTTTTTTTCTTTTTTATCCAATTTATTAACAAAAATTTAGTTTCTTGTATTCAATTGTCAGAAAACCATTTTATTTTCCAATTTTACCATTTGCTGTTTACGACAAATTTGCGGTTAAATTATTTTGTCAATGTAACGCGAGGACTTAGACTACGTGCATTCAAAGTTCCTCACATTATAATTTGCAATAAAATATTTATATATTAAAATAAATGTTGGTAAAGAATTGCAAATACAAAGTAAATCATTTGTTCATTTATATATATATATATATATATATATATATATATATATATATATATTTCTATACTTTTATAAACAACTAGTAAGGTTTAATATAAGTATTATTTTGTATTTATAGTATTGATGAATGTATTATTTTGTATTTATAATATTGATGAAATATTCGAATTTTAAAAGTATTTAAAAGTTAATACTTTTTTTGATAAGAAATTGTAGAAAAAGGAATGTAAGAAAAGAAATGAAAATTAGAGATATCAATTGTAAAATCCATCATTATTTTGTCGATTTTTAGTCAATTCGAAAAATTTTACATACTTCAAAATTATTCAAAATTGGTCGCCATTACACGATATTATAAGTTTACAGATTTAAAATTAAAAATGTAAAATTCCTTATTTTTTTTTAACTTTATTTCGATAAATTGACCCCATAATTAATAATCTTATTAATAATCAATCAATATTAATGTGTTTAGCTCCTGGAGATGTTGAAATTTTATGCCAGATTCGAAATAAGCGAGGAAACGGGCGATCCACTTACGGACTACGATATGACGCAGATACATTATACAAAAATTACTTCCTTGCAAAAGGCCGCATTCGCCAAATTTCCCGATCTTCGATCCTTTGCGCTCGCCAATGTCGCCAGTGTAAATAATCGGGATGCTCTATTCAAGCATTTTGGCTACCTTAGGTAAATTTCATTTAATCTATTCGCCTATTAGGCGAGCCTATGCTCAATTGCATTAATTAATTCAGCGTTTCCTTTTTAGCCAAGAGAAACTTCGGTCCATAGCGAGCTACTTAAATTTAGTTCCACCAATAGAACGTGAAAAGGATGAGAATTGGTACAGGCTGGATTTGGACTTTCTGCGAGAGTTGCTTGTGAGTTTGATATTTTATCAAATAAGTTTAAACGGTTATGCAAGATGTCGTGGATGTGGTTTTATAGATTTATTAATTTACTTATTAATAAGGCAATATCCGAGTTACGGGAGACTTCAGAGACATAATTTTTACGCAGATCTCGCGACATGAGAGACGAGCCTCTCAGCTGGAGGAGCTGAACGAAATGCCTCTCTACCCGACGGAGGAGGTCATCTGGAACGAAAGCATAGTGCCAACGGAGTACTTTTCTGGAGAAGGATGTCTCGCACTGCCGAAGCTCAATCTTCAGTTTCTCACGTTACACGATTACCTGCTAAGGAATTTCAATCTCTTTCGACTGGAGTCCACGTGTATGTGACGCAATTGTTTAAAGCTCATTGCCCATTGCATCTTTGTCTATTATTATTTCTTGGATATCAAACACGGTTACAATATTATTCGTACATCGTGTTAATCAATTCGTTCTTTCGTTTGTATGTTACTGATAAGTTGACAGCTCAAAGCTAACTCAATTTCTCTTAACTCAGATCTTAAATTACACTACTTTCGCGATATTCTTTGTTCAAATAGAAATTTTTTTTTTATCACGTACATATTCTGTCAACATTTTATCGTCAACGTCTCATCATATTCCTTTGTAAATTACATATTATTAATATATTTAAATTAATAATTTTAAAGAACTACGGACAAATAAAGCCATTATTAAGTTTATAAAGTATTACCATGTAAGGTAAATGGTTGTTAAGTAACAAAGTTATGTTTTTACTTATAATAACGTTACGAAATTCCCGTCAAAATAAAGAAATGAAAAAGAAACATAGTATTTTTAAATTTTACACACACACACACACACACACACACACACACATATATATATATATATATATATATATATATGTATGTATATATAAATAAATTTCCAGCAGTGAGATACCGATAATACGAAATCTTGCTTAATTATTGAAAAAAATCTTATTCTGAAAAAACTTGATTTTGCTTACAAGTAATGTGTATTGTTAAAAAGAAAAAGTTGCTTATTTCTAAACTTTAAGGATTTGAATACAATCTTTTGAATGAAATTGTAATATGTAGTAATGATCGTTAAATGTTATATTCGCTATGAGCACGAGGCTATTTATTATGAAGGACTTTGAAAAATTAAAGTATCTTTACGTATTTATTTTAACGTCTAACTCTTAATCTTGTTAAACAGATGAGATTCGACAAGATATCGAGGATGCAGTGAGTCGACTTAGTCCATGGTAAGTTATTGCTCAAAAATACAGCAAAGCAAGCAACGTCTAGATTTAAGGAAATGATGTAGTGTATTCGATGTAAACATTCGCTGTCGAATATTTACACGTTGACTAATGTAAATAATGTTATGCTCAGGCGAGCGGAGGACGGGGGCGTTTATTTTGGCGGTTGGGCGCGCATGGCTCAACCTATTACGCAGTTCGCTGTGGTGGAAGTGGCCAAGCCAAATATCGGTGAGAAGCGGCCTTCGAGAGTCCGTGCCGACATCACAATAAACCTTAGCGTTCGGAAGGAAATCAAGTCGGAGTGGGAAAATCTCAGGAAGCACGATGTCTGCTTCCTCATTACCGTGAAGCCAGAAAATCCAATTGGTATGCACCATAGCTTGCCCAACAACTATCACATCTACTGCTCACATCGATTATTCTTATAAACGTATAACGATTCTTTAAAAAATAAACAATAATAAAAATAAATAATCGATGCGCTCGTCTCGTTCGTTATCATTATTTTTAAAAATGCTAGGAAACAAAGGACTATTTTCTAGTAATGTGTCATTCTATCGCTACGTACGTACTTTTTATAACAGATCAACATTTTAGATGCTAATTATTAAAATTGAAGTCACATTGTCTGAATCGATCGAGTGATAACTTGATAGTTAATATTGCGAGTATGGTTATAAGTTTCAATAAAGGATCGACCAATTTATATTAAGCAATAAATTTACAATACTTGAAATTCGAACAAAAAACTTACATTTTTTTAACGAATTATAGAATTATAATGAATTATACGGCATTTTGTATAGGCAGCAAACGTACAAAATATAAACTGAAAATATTTAGCCATATGTAATTGCATAATATGTAAGCAACAATGGAACATCGATTGAAAATTCATTATTCGAGAACAAGGTATTACGTTTATTGTAAATGAGTAAAAAACTTAGGGCAATGGCAATTGTCCAATTTTTAAATGACCAAAGTGCCATAAATTAGTAGCAACGAGGATGAGTGTATTCGATTATACAATGACGTTGTTAAAGAGCAAATTATTATTATTATTTTAAAATGTAATAAATTATACAGCAATTAATTATACACCAATGCTCTTTGCACAATTGGTAGTCGCACAATAAAACTACGATATGCCCGAAAGACTTTTAATGCAATAATCAAGCCTTGGCTAGTGGTACGACAGAGCTTTCACCGAGCTTTAAGAGTCTTAAAGTTAGCAGGGAAGAGAACTCGAGGCGATTGGAATTGTTTTGAAGTGCATCACGAATTGTCGACTAACACGGTGATTTCTCTCGTACAGGCACCAAGTACAATCACAAACTGCCATTCGTACCCCAGGTCGGGCTGACGACAGTCCGTGGATGCGAGGTCGAGGGCATGCTAGACTCGAACGGGCGCGTGATCGAGGATGGGCCGGAACCCCGACCGATCCTCCCCGGCGAGAGTCGCACCTACCGTGTCTGGCTCGACTCCAACCAGTACCGCATCGACATGGACAACGCCAGCCACGGTCGCGAGGACGTGTACGAGAGCTTCAACATCATCATGCGTCGTAAGCCCAAGGAGAACAATTTCAAGGCCGTCCTCGAGACGATACGCGAGCTGATGAACACGGAGTGCGTAGTCCCGGATTGGCTGCACAATATTATATTGGGATACGGTGACCCGGGCGCAGCACAGTACTCCAGGTAATTCCATTCCTTTATGTTTCGACATTTACAGAAAATGAGGCTACTACGAGTCCTCCTGCACTCGTCGTACTCTTGCTTTCCTTAGCTACGCAACAACACTTAATGACACTCGAGATTAAATATCTCACATTATTCGTAATTTGTTAATAAATGCAAATATTGTACGTAGATAGGATATACGTAATCATTTCTCTGAATTTTAACGATAGACTCGAAACTCCGCATCTTCTAAATCAGATACGTTTTTAACATTGCGACGAAATTTTTTAAGGAAATCCGAATGCACTGCGTAATATGCATTTGCATAAAAAAAAATTAATCTCAATTCGATAACTTTATAGTCGAATAGTTTATTAATGCGTTGTTTTTCATTTGTCCATAGGATGCAAGACGAGATCGCGACAATGGATTTTAACGATACGTTTTTGGATGCTGATCATTTGGGCTCAAGCTTTCCTGGATACGAGTGCCAAATGACGGAGAGTGATCCGGAAAAACTCGTTAGGCCCTTTCGATTGATCTTCGAGGATGTGCTTTGTAAACAAAATAACAAAGAAGAACGGAAGGTCATAACTGTGCAGCCGCATGTACCGCCTAGTCGAGGTCCTTACAAGGCTAACGAACCAAAAAAGTATATGTCCAATCCCATTGAAAATGATCTTGAATATGTTATTTAATTTTAATTTCCACGGTGTCTCTCGTGTCTTAATATCCTACATAAATTCAACACAATAATTACGTCGTTATGAGTATCGGCGCTCCTTCTATCAATCAGTGTGCCCTGTATTAGCTGTATTAGCAGTTGGTAAATTGAATCGATGCTTGCATTTTCGAGAATTCGAACGTTCAAGTCTAAGCCAATGCTCTACGCGCCGGCTACCAATAATCTACGCGCCGGCTACCAATAATCTTATGAAAATTAATGTGAAATATGAAATATGAAATCCAAGCTCAAATGTTAAAAATTTCATTGTCCTCTGTGCTTCAGAAACCAAATTCCATTCACGCCGACGCAGGTAGAAGCGATTCGTGCCGGCATGCAGCCGGGTTTGACGCTCGTCGTTGGTCCACCCGGTACGGGTAAAACCGACGTCGCAGTCCAGATAATTTCCAATCTTTATCATAATTTTCCAAACCAAAGGACGCTTATCGTCACGCATTCCAATCAGGCCTTGAATCAGTTATTCGAGAAGATCATGGCATTGGACATTGACGAGAGGCATCTGTTGCGTCTCGGTCACGGCGAAGAAGCACTCGAGACTGAAAAAGACTTTAGCAGATACGGTCGTGTCAATTACGTTTTGGCGAAAAGACTCGATTTGCTGATGGAAGTCCAGAGGCTGCAGGTTGAAGTCAAAAACTTTTTTCTATTTTGTCGTTTAATCCTTCTTAAATATTATATTGTCAAATAATTGTCAGATTAATTAAATTTTTTTCTTTTGAATTTCTTTCTCTTGTTTTTTTTCTTTTTAATTTTTTTTATTTCTATGACAATATAACTATTCGATATTGCATTGATCTATCCGAATGCCAAAAGAATGAGAGTAGACAATCTAATCATTATATATACGTATGGATATTTTAGGAATCGCTGGCAGTTCAAGGTGACGTAGCCTATACTTGCGAGACGGCCGGCTACTTTTTTACCTATCAAGTTATGACGAGATGGAGTCGTTTTGAGTCAATGATTAAACAAAGAAGTAGCGACGTTGATGAAATACCGGCCTGCATAATCGACGAGGAGTTTCCTTTCCATAAATTTTTCGATAATGCGCCACAGCCGTTATTTAAGGGAAACACGTTTGAGGAAAATTTGGTCATTGCGGAAAGTTGCTATAGGTAGGTACTTTACACACACACACACACACACACACACACACACACACACACACAAACAAACAAACAAAATATATGTGTATGTGTATGATATACTTTTGTGCTGTCTATTTGTATGTGAAATTGTATTAGGGTAAAAATCGTAATTAAAGTTGTGATGAAAAGCACTGCCAAGTGCTTTGTTACTAATTCGTGTGAATTAATGAGAATTCCGCCCGATAACAGGTATATCGAAAGAATTTTCACTAAACTTGAAGAATTCCGGGCTTTCGAGCTGCTCAGATCAGGCCTCGACAGATCAAAATACCTGCTCGTTAAAGAGGCGAAGGTAATCGCCATGACGTGCACCCACGCTGCTTTAAAAAGACGGGAACTAGTGGACATGGGCTTCAAATACGATAACATCCTGATGGAAGAGTCTGCGCAGATCTTGGAAATCGAAACTTTTATACCATTGCTTTTGCAAAATCCCGAGGACGGATACAACCGGTTAAAACGCTGGATCATGATCGGCGACCATCACCAGTTGCCCCCGGTCATCAAGAACATGGCCTTTCAAAAGTACTCAAACATGGAACAGTCGCTGTTCGCCCGATTTGTGCGGCTAGGTGTGCCGACGGTCGACCTCGACGGCCAGGGTCGTGCGAGGCCGAGTATTTGCAATCTCTATAACTGGCGTTACAAGAAACTCGGCAATCTCCGTCACGTGGAGAACAGTCCGGAGTACCTTGTCGCGAACGCGGGCTTCCTCTACGACTTCCAATTGATCAATGTCGAGGACTTCAACGGCGTGGGTGAGAGCGAGCCCAGCGCTTACTTTTATCAGAATTTAGCCGAGGCCGAGTATTGCGTCGCCGTCTTTATGTACATGCGACTACTTGGTTACCCGGCGGATAAAATCAGTATTCTCACAACGTACAATGGCCAAAAACACTTGATTCGAGACGTTATAAACATCAGGTATGATCGTATTATTATTATTTATGCTCGTATTATATAAACTACTAAAAAATTACAAATCGACGTCTTCTTTACAGATGCGCCAGCAATCCGCTAATTGGACGGCCCAATAAAGTAACGACGGTCGACAAGTACCAGGGTCAGCAGAACGACTACATTCTCCTGTCGCTGGTGAAGACGCGAGCGGTCGGTCACCTACGCGACGCTCGGCGTCTTGTCGTCGCAATGTCCCGAGCTCGTCTCGGCCTCTACGTGTTCGCGCGCGTCTCGCTCTTTAAAAACTGCTTCGAGCTCACCCCGGCATTCGACCAACTTATGCGCCGACCGCTCAACCTCGCCCTACTGCCTACGGAGAGCTACCCGACTGAGAGGCTCAATAACGAGGAGGTGAAAGACGAGTCCCTGGAGATCCAGGATATGCCGCACATGGCCAAATTCGTCTACGACTTTTATCTTAATAAAGTTAATATGAAGGTTTGTTGCGAGTGTCATCGTTAATTTGCTATTGCTTTACAATTGCTAAACGAAATATAAAAATCGAGCGGTTTTTCGTTTATTTTTATCTTATCTCTTATGCAATCGAGCCTACAACTTTTCTAAGCCTTGTCTCGAGTATGTGGATCGAGACAAGTTGTTGTTCCGACAACGAGTGTGTAAGATTTGCTTGTGCTGAGTTGTGGCACCATTTTTCCCTGCCCCCTACCCTACCTGTTATGTCGAGAGAACGTGAATTTTAATTTTCTCCTTAAGCGTAGGCAAATAGGCGTCCAATTTATTATTGGACAGACGGCCTTTATATTTTACAGCGAAAAGTAATTGAATGGAGGGGGAGGGTATGGGAGATAGGAAGAGGTGTAGAGTATTTAATTTGCGGATGGATCCATAACCGTTGAATTTCCCAATGGATTTACCAAGTAGTTCATAATTTATCAGGACATCGATAGGCGCAATTATTAATGATATTTAATTAACTCGTAGGAGGAGGCTCGGCAGCAGGAGTGGATGAACGTTGATATTAAATCGTCGAGTCCCGATCATTTCGTTCACGCTCATCCTGGGGCGGACGACGACTCCGATGAAGACATGGAGAAACCAGTATCTGAAAATATTGTGGCAGAAGGGAAACGGGAATTGGAAAAGCAAGACAATGGTAGTGAACATAAAGAAACGGCGGTCGTCGTCCCCATTGAAAATTTAATGAACGAAGATAAAGTTGTGGAAGAGCAGCAAGACAGTCCTAAGGATGATGAAGCCGATAACGACAATGACGAGGAAATATAAAAATAAATTATATATTTTTTAAATATTGTTCTTTATTTTATTTCCACGCTATCACAATCGACACTGATGCAAAGCAGCCGACCAGCAGTCTTCTATTCTACGCCATTTAAGCAAACATTCATTTGTAATATTCTCATAGAAAACAACGAGCAATGCGCCACTGAACAAAGAAAATAACAAAACACCAGCGCGATAAAACTTTTTTTTCTTCATTTTTCTTTTTTCTTTTTAAATATTCATAAGCATTACAATGATCATTCTCGAATGAACGATAATTTTTTTTTTTTGCAAAAGGAGAAAGCTTCGTATAATTTTAATTGCAATAAATATATGTAATGTGTCATCTGAAATCTTTATCGCTAGAACGCGGTTTCTGTAGAACAGTATCTACTGCTATAGTAAATAATAATAATGACAATGATAATAATAGTAATAATAATAAATTCTTAAGTGTTGCAATATGCAAAATATAATTGATTACTTTACACAAACTACATTACAGGGAGATATTTCATCGCTTGCTTCGTGAATTCTCGAAAGTGGGAATACCTAATGCAAAATTTGCACGCATAAATAATCAATGGATCAGACGGTAATATAGCAAGTATAATTCTGTTAACAAAAAAAAAATATATATATATATATATTATTAATCGACGACTTTATGAAAGTTTTCATCTATTTATGTCATTATAAAATCTATTAGTTCTATAATCCATAATTGTAGATTTCTTTTAATTCTACTTTTACAAATGGGTGCATAAAGTAGCACAAAAATGCTTTTCCAAACTATAATGGAAAGACGTGGATAGTTGTAGGATTAACGCATCACTGGAATCAAAAGATGTTACAATCTTTTTTTTTTGTTTTTTTTTTTTTTTTTTTGACATAAACACCTTTCATCTAAGAATTAACATCATCATCTATGCGCACGCAAATTATGTTTGATTGCTCATAAATTACAATAAAATAATTATAGCGTTTCTAATGAATTTATCGATACTTTCACACATTTATTAAATTAAAAATTCATGCAATTTTTTTTCTTTTATTTCGACTTTAGACTTTCGACTTTCGTACGTACACAAAGCATACAATCGTATGAGATTTCTCGCATTCTTGTATTTTGTAAATTGCAATTTTTTATTTTAATCGTAGATTCAGGCACAGCTGCGAAACTCCTAAACGCTTAAAGTGTTTATAGTATTATATTAATGGACAATAAAGCTTGTCATTTTAAGTGCAAATATGAAAATCTACCGAACGTTAAATGTATGTATAAAATAAATTTTCCCCGAGGCATTGTAATGGTTTTTGAATGATCTAGTCTTAGCACGATTATTTCTTATTGCCGATAGATAATATTGCGATTGAAATCTCCGATTTATCGAAGCTTATTTTGTCCCTTCCGATTAACTTTTTCCCTTTAAATTATTATTGCCGTTTTTATGATGCTGGATTTCATTATTATATTATGCATGAAATCACATTAAGACCAGACGATTAAACATTCTCAATTACAATTTATACTGCAGATCTTATTTTATTATTTAATATGCATTTTAAGTTTTGGGATTAGTTCTACCTTGTAAAGAAGGTAGAAGTATAAATGTAAAATTTGATATATAAGTTTTGAAATTTTTCTTCCGTCCTTCATTTCGTAGTGCGTATATTATTAATTTCATCGTGATTTATCGATAAATTAAAAGGCACATTATATACTGCAATAATACAATTGTATTATTATTTTTTAACTGTAAAATTTTGCATTCCGGTGATTGTTTTAGAATTGACATGGTCGAATATTATCGTTGCTTTCGCCAACCCCCCCCCCTCCCCCTCACACACACTCTCTATCTTCCACACCCATCCCCCTCCCCCCGATCCTTTTTCCCCCGTGATAGCCGGTAAAATGGTAATTGGGACATGATGTCACCTTCTCCAGTATTTTTGTAGCTTTGTCGCTCATTAGAAACTGCCGCATTCTCGAAGTACACGATTGCCAAGCGGCAACGGCGGACGGAAGTTATTAATCACCTGCAACAATGAGAAAGAAACAGATAAGATGTGTGAATATAAGTATGCTATTGCATCGTTGCCAGCAGTATAATATGACCGCAAACCAACACTCTACTAAAACTTCTGCTTTATGAAAAATAGTGAACTTTGCATATGACCGGATAGACAAAAAGCAGCGATAAAAAATCGAGTTTATCAGGAGTAGTTTTATAATAATAGATGGACAAGTCATTTGAACAATTATCATATTATATTACTTTATCGTTGTGTTATTAAAATTGCTCTGGAATGGAAAATTTTTTTTTTTAATATTGTCTTAAGGCCGATATAACGTGCCAATGTTTTATGAAATAAATGCAGAAACATTAAATGCTTAGTAATGGCTGTGAATGCAAATTTTTGTCATGTACATTTTAGCTTTGAAGATTTCGAATACTTATTTTACCAATCTATGACGTCTTTACTGATAATATTGTATATTAATATTTTATGTGAAAAAACTAAGAAGAGAATCATATATCGAATATATAAACAGAGGTCTATTTCTTATTTCTTATTTTTTTTTTTTTTTTTTTTTTTTTTTAATAACGTTTCACTATTTCCGTGTAGATGATTTTATAAAATTCATATTTAGTCATAGGTTTTTATCATTTATATTAATTTGCTTTACGAGCATCTTGCACTTTATCAATATTATTCGAATATTTATTTTTTGTTTTAAAAATATTTCTGAAACACTATGTATTATTTGATGTTAATGAATTATAAATGTGCAATTACATTGATCTTACAACAAATACAAAAATGCATTAAAAATTCAGCTCTTAAATGAGAATAAATCTAAGATTGTTAATGTATGTGCATTACAAATGCGGAAATGAACTCTTAATAACTTTTTAATTCATTCGCTAAATGCAAAAAATTATTTAATTGAAAGACTATATTTATATTCAAATTATATGCAACGCACAATCGTTTTATATAATAGTTTTACGGTTGGAAAGTTCCTTTTTTCTTCTTCTTTTTTCAAACAATCTATCAGCCATGGTAAAACGAGATATTAAGTACGAAGGCACATATAAATATAATGATGTAATTGCATGCAATTAAATGAGCTTTGTTTGAATAATTTGCATAAATATAATGTTATAGAATAAAAGAAAAGTGAATTAAAACAGTCTCATGTGAATCCAATACTTCATTATTGTCAAAACATTAATTTACGACCTTATGCCTCAAGTTTGAAAGACGGTAGGTCAATAGTTTTTTGGAGATTAGATTGCAAGAAATTTTTATTAATTCACGAAAAGGTGAGAGGACGTAGTGCATTAAACAGTTTCGTCGATCGACACGATATGCAAATTTGAAGAAATTTGAAGCACTTAAGATTAAGTGGGAATTTTGCGAGCTGTGTTCGAGACACTTTTTCGCAAAATGCAAAAAAAAGTAGAAAAAGAAGAAAACTCACAACACCGTGATTCTCGTGGCAAGGACACTCTTCGCCACGCGGGAACTTGCGGAGATTACGAAAGATGTTCAGCTGATGATGAGAAACCTCGATGTAGCGCTTGAACAGTATCCAGGTGACGCTCTCGTTACAGGGTGGCGTTGTCAGCGAGCCCAAGTATGTCCAGTAGCCGTTGTCGTCTGTGTAGCGGAAAAAGAAAAAGGACGATTAATGGACGGATAGCCGATGGGAAGGGAGAGCGGCTTTGGTTATACACAGTGAGAAAGCATCGGTCGATCGAAATGCTTTGGTGGTAAGTTAAATGAGGTCGACAGTTGTACACACACACACACACACACACACGCCCAATTACGGGCTTTTATTATTATTTTTTTCATTATTTTCCTTTTTATGTAATGGTGTTTTCGTAAGTGTATAACGTGCTTGCTTTATTCTTACATGTGACGTACGTTGATTTAAGCTTGTGTTGAAGCATTTGTTTGGGTCAGCGAGTATCGTTGATTTATTTTCAAATATTACTAGCTGTTCGACAACGTGCATTTTCAGTTAAAATTATCACGCTCCCTTTCCCTTATCAGTTAATAAACGATAATATATCTATTTATTTTTATCTTTGGAAATTAATTAATGCTTATAATAGAGGCAATTTGGAATATTGGAGATAATTAATTTTTCTACATTATGCTAGAAAATCATCATTTAACTATACAAGATAATTAATTTTTACGAGTGAATACGAGTAGTTACAAATTTTGTAAAAATCCTTAGTCTTTAAGTAGGCCGACAGCATTCACTCGAGTCGTTGGCTGAAATTATCTGGTTATTAGGAGAAAAATGCAATTTGTCAATTGATTAACCTAAAACGACTAATTGTATATTCAAACTGATATTTTCTTTATGAGAAAAAAAGAATAGCTTAGATATAATAATTCAAACTTATTATTAAAGCACAAGGAATTGGAAACATTGAAATTAAATAATCATTTCGGAAGAGATGCTTATAGATCATCATTATCTGTTTGTACATAAATGATAATTTAATTTAGAGTTGTGGTAAATATTAAAAGAAATATTCCGATTAGAGTAAACGCTAATTTATCTTTTTATTATAAAATACTTATACTTGACGACAAAATTCGTTAATCTAAATTATGACACTTATATTTATTTACAAAATACTCGCTCACACGTAATGAATAATATTTTTCTCTACGATATTTTGACGGCTGATAGCAAACGAAGTGATAATGAAATGAAAAATCGTTGCATTTTGAAATGTCAAAAACCTCAAGCGCACAATAAGGAAGTCATTCATTAATTGATGAGGTTGGTGCGCACCCGTGATATACACAAGTAGAAAGTTTATGTAAAGTGCAAAACTGCATCGAAGCTTGTGCATTGTAAGTCTTCTTAAAGTGATGTAAGACTACATAAGTGAATTAACTCGGAATGTTGGCAAATCCTATCACTTTACGAACGCCTCTGTGCTAGAATAAAGAGAGTTCTTAGAAAGAGTAGGAAACGTTGCCTTTGATATGCAGCAATGATTTTCTGTGCACCTGCATATGCTTTATTGATAACTGTGTGATGACATACTTACGACGTTTCCTTGATAAGTCATTTCATTTATAAAGTTGATAATTAAGAGCGAGCTTTATGTTATCGCTCTCGTGATCATTTTCAACTAAGAATTATTATGACAAAATGACATTGGTGTTAAAGCACGAGATATTACAATGTCAAAAATGTTAAAAGCTCATAATGAACTTCAAAATTTTTAATAAAATTCTAATTTTACATAAACATATTTGACTGAAATGTTCATTGCAATGTTAAATGGCTGAAAAATACATTCAGAATGGTATTCGATTGTGTTTAAAAGATAAGATCTATTGAATTGGAGTTCACGAAAGAAATATGTATTATGTATTATCAACAGTATTTTAACAAAAATATTCACCAAAGTTCAAGATACTTTAATAAAATTAACACATATACATAAGCGAGTTTGCGCGTTAATCTATGAAATTTACGTTGTTTTATTTAAATGATCATGGGCTAGGGAAATTTTCGTTTTAAAAGATTTTTTATAAAAGATTTCTTAAAATTTATAAGAATTTCTATGCGACGTTAATCTTACATTATCTTTGTTATAAAATGAACATTTTCGTTTTATTACAATGAAAATTATTGTAAAAAACAATGATTTTCTTCATTCTTTAGCTCATGCAATGTTTTTCTTTCACTCTGTAGTATGAAGTTATAATTTAAAATTCATATTGATCTTTTTCAGCACCAAGGTCAGTTTTCATATTTATGACAAACATTAGGTGCATTGCAAGGAATATGTGAAAAAAAACAGAGTAAAGGGAAAGAAAGCGTGGTCAAAGAAGTGACGACGACAATTTAAGAGATAAAAACTTGAATTTTTTCATAATCGGTATTACCTTCTTCATCCGCATTGTCATTTTATAATGTTTATTTAGCTGTTATTATTATAATTATTGTTATTTGTTTTTTCTCATATATTCAGATAAATGAGAGCTCGAGACTAGTATGCAAAAAATTTTATTCTAGAATCTTGACTTTAGTAAATTTATATAACTATGATATTGCATGATACAATAAAACAAAAAGAACAAAACAAAAAAACCAAAAGAAACAAAAAAAAAGGGAAAAAAAGAAACAAAAAAGAGAATGTGTTTCTTATGAGCAAGTTTCAAAAAGGAAAAAAAATGACAGTTTCATAAAAAAAATTATTTAAAAATGCATCTGTCGGGCACTGTTGAATTTTTTTCAAATTTTTAGGATTCGTACAATATGATAAAAGTATATTATTTATTAACGGTGTTGCTCGAATTTATAAAATTATCTTTATAAGCGGGCATTTATTTATTTATTTGATTTTTTTTTGTTTTTTTTTGTTTTTGTTATGTGCTCATTTGAATAATCGTAAACATACAATGTTGGTATCGAGTGATAATCGTTAATAAATCTAATAATTATAATAAAATTTTAGAAATTCTCTGGCAGATTGGTAAGTAAGGCATGCAATTCAAGTATCTAAACATTGTTCAACATTTTTTAAATAGAGTGGTAAAAGTGTTTTTATGCAAATCAAAGTTACTATTTGTTCTAACTATTTCACATAAAAATTTTGCGAATTAAACGATATTGTCATGGCGGATTAAAAAAAAAAGAAAAAAAACGAGGTCGTCGTATTTCTGGAATTAAATCTTACGTATAGTAACGGCCATAAGTGAGCTAAAAACAAGCTAATTTAATATCAAGGAAATAATAACATTGTACAAGAGATTCAAATTACTTTGCCTTATCATATAAAAAGCCGCGATATGTAAACAATGAGTTTACATTAATAAGATTAATTTAACCATCAATCAAGAGCCTCCGATACTTTACACAAAAGTGCATCAGCTTTGTATGAAACTGGAGTCGGAGCTCCGATATCCGAGATTTTCGCGCCATCGTGTGCTGCATCATAAAAAAAAATAAATAATAAAAAATAAAAAGTAAATAAATAATAATAATAAAAATAAAAGGTCCAAAGCTATAGTCGCGACGATATATTTAACCTTAAAAACTGTCTCGATTGTCCAAGTACCATTAGACTCGGAGGACTTCTGAAAATTGCAGGTTGCCACCATCCGGTCGGTATACAATATGCAAATCAGTAGCATTGTTGACCTGGACACGTGACATTATCATTGAATCCATACAGGGTGAAACAATCGAATGGAATAATGAAGTAACTGGCGAGTAGTCGATTGCCATTGCGTATGAAGTCTATCACAGTTCATCGCGACTTCCTTTAGACGAATCTCGGCAGATTGACGATGCACCCTTCGGGCGCGCGATATATGTACAAAGCCTCGGGTGGGTTGCGGGTCGGGGGGTGGAGGAGGAGCGAGGAAGCTGGGAATCTTGTAGTGAGCAAGATCATAGAGCGAGTGATGTGAAAGTGACCTGATGTTAGGTGGTGGAAAGTAAGCGTTGTCGGGCTCTCCTGTTGGTGCGGCTGGCCCGAGGCCGTGCGAGTTTATTACGAACCTTGCCATTGTCCGCACTTGTTCTCCGGTCGGATGATTCGGCCGGCCCATCGCATGCACGGATTGACGCACCTTTGTATGCCGCCGCTGTTGCCCGCTCGTCCACCGCGAACTGCACCCTCGACCACGTCGTTAGATTAAGACGAAGGGCTGGCATTCGTTGTTGGAGATGGGGCTGGGACCTAATGGTCGATAGGTTTGGGAATGGTGGAGGGGATGGTGATGATGGGGGGGGGGGGGGGGGTGGGTCTTGCACGTATTTGCACGTAGGTTTTCGTTCAACTTTGTGCGAAATTCGGTGGGATGGGGTTAAATATTGGGGGGATGGAAGTATGGGGGTATGGGGGAGGGATGCGCAGCCTTCGGTTTATTCGTTGCCCGGACGAAACTATCTTTATTGGTTGTTTTATTTCATTGGGTCGACGTATTTATTCATTTTAAACGTGCGCCCTAGTGCACCTTCGCTTTAAATCCGTTAAGCGTATTGTTACAGTAAGAAGGAAGAACTCTTTACTTACTTCGAGACAACCTTAAGCTTTTAGTGTATATATACATAGAAATAAAATCGAACTCTTTATTTGTTTTTGTTTTTTAGAGGGCTGACATTATTTTTATCCATCGATAGCTTATAGATATTAATTTTAGAAATTTTAAGGAGCAAACGGCACAAGACAATTTTTTTGTAATTTTATGAGACGCATTGATAATAATTCGTTCTATTCGTTACGTTCTATTGAGCTAATAGTGGTAAAGTATGCAAATCAGTGGTGATTAGTATTATTAGTATTTTCATAATGATTCATTTGATTTAAATCATTTAATATTAATTAATTACCGCTCCTACAATCGATTGATTAATAGTCGATCTTTAAATAAGGACAATTAAAAAATATGCCATTAGTCTCCAAAGATCAATATCCGTCTCGTTTCTAGATAATAAGTATAAAAAGCTTATAATCACACGATTAATCACAAGTAGTTCATAAAAGAACAATTTCTGTAATATAATATTATTTCAGGGATTAAACGACACATCTTTTTTTGTTAATTTTCAACACATAATCTGTATTTTACTTTGACTTTATTTAAAAGATGATAGCAATAATTTATTTCTCGGCGACTAAAAGAAATTCTCATTGTGAGTATACTTACAAGCACGAGTTCATGTTTCTATTTATCATTAATAAACCTAATAAGAGATTTTTAATGATTTTTTATTTCATTTAAATTATTTCAATTAACAGTACGTAAAAATTAGCTACATGTCGTAATATATTTATTGAGTGTCATTCGCGCAGGTTTGGAGGAAAAAAACTTTTTGACAAATGGCATAATTTTACATTGTAATAATATCGCGAATATTTAGAATTCGAGAAATTAAAAAAAAAAACAAAATCAATAGGTGAATTTATCTGTACATACAATTCTTCCAATTATCACTAGTTTCAAATAAAAGCAAAGCATTATTGTAGCGTGGGAAAGAAATTTTAAAATGTCATCTCACACTACTATGCAAATATTGAATTAATATACAAAAGTTCTTTTAATTAGTAATTTTAAATATCTTAATTCTCGAACGACAATGTTAATTATTAATTAGAAATATTATATTAGACAATAATTTCAAAATTAAATAGAACTGTATTTAAACGTACTGGAAAAAAATATGAAATCATTGTACTATATGACGATCTCGTCTAAATTAAGTCTCAAAGGCATAAAGGTGATTCTAGTCTCGTAACCTTTATAGTTTTAACTATAACAATTTATAGTGAAATTTTTATTTTTTTCCTGCAACGAAAGTTAATATAATCGACGTAAAGGACGTTTCCCATCCGCACGGCGCTAATAATTATATATGTACGGTTGAGGTTTCTAAATAATGTTTTAAAAACCACATCAATTTGGTTAGTTGCGCCCCCTTTTTCACGGATTTACAATTATGTTTCTCGCCAGACGAGGTCGCTTTGACGATAAATCGATAAATAACAATTGTAGGAATGAAATAAATAAAAACAAGACAATTATAAATATTCATATTAATGCTCGAATGTGCGAGAGGGTTCGCTCTATGTTTTCATACTCACCCGGAAGTAGCTTGCTGGGATCGATGGGCTCGTTTATCTCGATGCAATCCTCCTTGTGAGAGACGTATGGAAGTAAACGAGCGATCTTATCCATTTCATCGTGCGGCTTTCCCACCTATAACACCATACACATAAGCGGTTATTAAAAAGAAACGAGAGAGAGAGAGAGAGAGAGAGAGAGAGAGAGAGAGAGGCACGTATTATTGGCTTTGTTTCATCGGCCCGGGATCGGACAATGGCTTAGGGGTCCCCTAATTACTCGCGAGCTGCAAATATTCCTGTAACAGTCAGCTACTTATTTATGCTGGCTGTCGTACGTAACACGTCCGAATGTATAATAAACTTTCTTTCCAATGGCGTAAAGCCGTCCCAAGTTTCTAATCGTTTGGTTGGCAGAGCCACGCAGACATTTGTGCTGCTCAAGAGTCGTTAAAATTTAACTGCAACATTGTACTTAATTGTCAATGATAAAGAAAGCTACGATGGATAAAATGAAATTTGACAGGGAGATCCGCGCATCGAGTTTGCCTTAAATTTAGCAAAGATAATTAATTGCTGGGGAGGTGAAGGAGGTAGTATTAAACGACTATAACAACCATTATAACGCCAATATTATTTATATTAACATTTCACCAGCGTGACATGTGTAAAACATTCCAAGCGCTTTAATTATGAAAACGTGGATGTTTCGATATGCAAATTTATTTACACTGCGGGATATTTAAACTTTCGTGTAAAACGTTGTTTATTCCCATTTTTTTCGTATGTTATTATTAAGTGAATGAAAGTGCTTTCTAATGAATGACGATTTTCAACAAATTTAACTTTCTTATTTGAGCATTTTTTTCAAGCGAACAAAATTTACTGTTACTTTCATTTTCCTCCAGAGTGCGTCAATGATATGTAATATTTATAAGTTACAGAGTTTAAACGCCACTATTGGCATGAAATAAACTCGTAAAACTTATTTTTCAGTAAAACTTTACATTTTAATGAAAAATATTTTTTTATATAAATTTACACTCAAGTGCTCCTAGGATTCTTTTTAGCCAAAAACAAAACAAAATAAAAACAGAAATTACTCTCAATACGTATTAAAATAAATTAAACGATAATTTATTATAATTACAATCAGTATAAAGATTTCTAATTAATATTACTTAACATTATGTCATTGTCATTTCTAACGAATGTACGTACATGAACTAGAAAAAAAAGTAAAATTTCCATCCTTTGAATTAAGTAATTCAATAACGAATAAGTAAATTAATCGTTACTTTATTAATTAATAGTTGATGAAATAGCGCAATTTTTCGTACGTACAAAATTTTTTTTTTTTACATTCCAAACTTGTGAAATCAATTTGTGAAAAAAGAGTCGCAGATTCGGATGTAACGATCGAGTAATTAAATCTTCATTTTGATATCTATAATCATACAAAAGTGCTTACATAACTATTACTGCCACTGTCGTTGCTGTTATAAATTCGTTTATTTCGGTATTTTGTACGTTACTATTTGAAACAAAATTACAATTGGATATACTGTCGTATGTTTAACTTTCTCTCTCTCTTTCTCTTTTATTTATGCATGCTCTTGTAAAAAAAAAACTCTTGTAATCAACCACGGATAATTAAATAATAACAGGATTCCTCAAATTCTTATAAGAAATTTATATTTTGAAAGAATGTTCGGAACTTTTGGAGAAAACGTTTAGTGACCTTTTAGTGATTAGAAACTATCGATTTGATTGTGATAAAAATTTGCTTCAGCCTGTCCATTATCATTTCTTTCTTCTTAATAATTAAATGTAAACTAATAAGAGGTGGAAGGCTCACTTAATTGAATTTTCATAATGACAATAAATTAATTGACAGGAGCGAAAGATTGCAAATTGTCTTTATAAGCGTTTCGTATTGTTCGACAAATAAATTGTCATGTGCAATGTAGTTTATTGGGCTTACGCTGATATTTGTTCCAACTAGCTCCAGCCTAATCTTACGTCTCATTTTTTTTAAAGCGTGCTCCTCAGTGCGCGTACGAGCGTCGACCCAAAAATGAAGAAAGCATCGATAAACAAGAAAATAGTGACAGAGTCGCTGTCTCGGTTATGAAAACTTCAACGAGGCTTGCCTACAACTTTGGGTATGAGCAGTCCGAGTCACCGAGGACCAAACCAAACAAATAATTTATTACCGTCCTTCGGAACTTGGCCGGTCGCGAGTCTCTAATGTCAAAGTAACGCGAGCGGCTCGAGTTACCCAACTCCAGTCCCAACAATGGTATAACACTCAACCGCTGTGGTGTTCCTCTTCGGTTGTTGAGAACGAACTAGCGGACCGAGATATTCACCTCGGGCCAGCGAAGCCTAGGTCAGAGAGGAAGAAGGAAAGGCAGGGGAGAAGCCGTGGACTGGAAACCTATGCATGTCATATGCATGCCCTGCTGGTGGTGGGGATACTGCCTCGAAGAAAGCATGGTTCATACGTAAGGAGAATTCGTGCGTAGATGAAGGGCCGAGCGATTGATATCTGCTCCGTCGTTGACATTGTTCTCGCGTTGCTTTCTTCGAATCACCCTAATTCCCTAAGGCAATTAAGTCGAGGCGCGAGTATTTCTTTGGCCAGCTTCGGCTAATAATTTCAATAACCGGCTTAATAAACGTGCCAAGTAGTCGTAATTTTCTTCGTAGTGCATATGGGAATGAAGAGGGTAACGCACGCGTGAGCGCGTGCATTTGCGGAAATGTGAAAAACGACGTTTGCCAAATGTGCCGATTATTAATTAAAATTAATTCGTTCTGTTTTTAAGTATTTCCAAATGCCTTGGAGAAGAAACGAGAATTTTATTAATAGTCGTGCAAGCAGCCTTAGCTATAGATCATTTTGGCTAGTATTTTTAGTTTTGGCATCATATTTATACAATAAGTGGACGGCATTAATTAGATAAATATCAATAATTGGAGGTTACATTATCGAATTATTATCGCCGATTTCGAGACTTGACATCGCGTGTCGCGCATTGGAATAATCATAACGTCGATATTTCCTGTAAAGTGATCGACAAACAATATTGCGATGTAAATGAAAATAAAGTATTGGCTTGATAATGTGTCCTCGTTAGCCATACAACTAGCACGTTAAAAGGTAGATAACATTGAATCTTCATTGGCTAGATTTGTAACGCATCTACGAACTTTTAATACGGTATTGTAAATTTGAATTTAAGCGAAACGAACTGCTCGTTATGTGTAATTCAGAAATTAATTAGGATGACAGGCGAGAGGGATGGAAGGGAAGGTAAATCGCTCATTTCACTACAATTAAGCATTGCGTGTTTTCTGTAATTTTCCGTAAGTTTCGCCAACATTTTTACCAGCGAACAAAAAACGACTGCCGATTTTAATGCCCGAAGCATGAAGATATTTATTTTCATGTTAAGATATTCATTTTGATGTTTCAATTTTTAAAGATGAAATTAGCAATATCTAGCATTCACAGCCACTCGCCAACGAACAATACAGTTAATTTGTATAATCGTTACTACCTAATATATATATATATATATATATATATATATATATATATATATATTCGCATGTATTTATATACATATAAATGACATTCAACAATTTTTAAATTATATGATGCTCGATAAGGCTTATCCGTCAATTTTCATCGGCACATATATCGGTACGCTATATATATCACTTTTTATGCCGGTCTATCGATCTTCGATGATCTCTAAAAACTTTTTTTCTGGTATGGCGTTTGTATAAAAAGCGTCGTATAAGGAGCGTTTGAAATGAAAAAAGACGAAGAAAAAAACTCGACAGTTGCATAAACAAGCAATAATCGTCCGCGAGTACCAGTTTTGTAAATCAAGGTCCTCGGGCTGTAAAAACTTCTCTCATTCTTCATTAAAGCGAGTCGGTTCAATAGACCCCCGTATAGAGCAATGAGGGGAAGCCTTGTAGACGCGGTAGAGGCGGCCTTTTTACGCTCGGTCGTAATTTTTTCTCACGTGACAAAAAGATAAATGCAGAGAGGAAAATACGGATAAAAAATACAGACCTTGAGAAAGACCCCGAGCACCGCCAACCCGTCAGGCGCCTTAGCGGCCTCGGCGAACGTCTTGTACTTGGTGGTATTCCAGTGCACGAGATGTAGCTGAAACAGGAAAATGGCAACTTATCTCTCGTCCTCGAGCTCGCGATGTTTAAAAGAACAAACAAACTAACTAACTAACTAAAGCAAATTTGAAAAAAAATACAAAAGAGAGAATGGTCGGTGGGTGAGTGACGTGGATTTAGTTACGGGCGTTGATGGATCCATTAAACGGACGCAGCTCAGGCGTCCCAAGACGGCATAATATGGTGTCTCATTCGTTCCCCTATCGTTCCCCTATCGGCAACTGGCCACTTACACAACAATCATCGCCCGTGGAAAAATTAAAAAAATATTCGCTCTATGCAATAATTCCATAAAATGGGCCCCAGCTTGAAAAAAAAACAAAGCAACGAGCGCTTTAAGCTATCTCAAGCTCTCGCAATCGATTCGCATTCGATTCACTTTACATATTCTAAGTTTTTCTCTTCACACTGGCCAACGTGCAGAATATACAAAATAAATGCGACGTTAACCGACGATTTATTACGATATATTATGGCCCTGCTCGCCAATAATCGCAATTATCCCTTTTATATGATTATATAACCGATTGGTTAAACTAACACGTTGGACTCGTCTCGTCTCGTCACGTCTCGTCTCGTCACGCTTCCACGGTGGTAGCCAATACATCGGTAACTAATAAATTCCGTGGCATAAACAAAAATGTCTCGCATTTATAAGCTACGAAATTTTGTGTCGTACTTATTCGCGAATTATTAACAAAGGTCGTTCCCGTTTAAAGCCACCTTTCTTTAATTAATTAACGCATTTTCAGGGGTAAGATAGGCTCCCGAAGTAGCTTACGCGATCGATCGCCCTCGGTTGTATGGTTTACGAGAGCGTTAGTGGATTGGGCCCGGGAGTTCGACGAAATTCCCGGGAGTCTTTTGACTTGCCGCGTAAAGCCAAGGCCGTAGACGAGGTTGAGGCTGGTCTCGCGGCATTTGGCGTTGCTCGAACGATTAGGAGGCCGACGGGATTCCTGCCTCGTTCTCCTCCACGCCGTCACGCGCTAATTATATCGTCAGGCTGACGCACGTCCACATCCTGCGTCCGCGTACGCCGTTAATTGCTAGGCGCGGGAGTTTATCGGCCGTGGTCGCGCCTATTATGCAACACCAGGAAATGCAAAGAAGCTCGATGGTAAGAGCGAGAGGTGGGACGGCTCGGTGATTATTATGGGACGTGTGCGCTATCTGTTTGCGACATTATTCTCGCCAATTAATATGGTGTTATCAGTGCACTTGGCACGGCTTTCGTATTATAATGGCAGAGGGAAAGCCGTACGAGGTAAACGCGTCGTTTGATCCTCGCTGGCGGGCGAAAAATTATGCCCGAGCGAATCAAATTTTAATAGGGAAAATGGTATTACGACGCCTCGGAACGCATCCATGAAAGCTCGATTCTTATTTCCAAACATAATTCTTATTTCCAAGATACTTTATGCATGCACATTATATAATATAAAATGAAATATTAAAGGATATTTTCAACCTTTAGCATTTTCCTCCAGCGTTTGATCGCGTCAACTGTATTTTTTCTCTAACGAAGGTCCAGTGATTTTCGAGTAATTACTTGCTACGTACGTATAATATCGCTTTAATGTGAGTATCGATTAATTTATGCTGCGAGGATCGCAAGCAATCTTTGAAATAACAGCCTAATGTATATTTTCTAATTACAAATTTCTTTTACAATAATAGCAAGTACGACGATGTTATTTATTAATGTAATGCACGCTACTTTGTTCAATATAGATTGTCCAATAAAAATTAACGTGAAAGATGCTAACAAATCATTTTGGCCAGGCGCTATTTGTTTCTGGAAACGATAGGGCTACGATAATTCTTCTTATGATATTACAATAAGTATTTATTATGTACGCGTTACCTACAAGGTATTCGAGATTTATCAAACGATATTTTGATAAAACTCCTTATGTAACGGATACTTTTCATATTTCCATATTGAAACGCGAGGCCATATCTACAATAAATTTGATATCCACTTGCTTTAAGTAGTCGACAACGCGGTATACTTGACATCAAATGCCATAGATTTGATGATCTAATTGATAATTAACAACAAATGCAATATTAGATTATCGATTGAGGGATGTGGTTGAATTTAAATGGGAATCAAACGAGACAAATAACGATTTAAATTTACAACAATCTATTTCTTAGTGAATTGACAGGTAGATGGGAACAAACAATATTATACAATACAAACAATCTAGCACTTTCATGTTGGCGACTACTTTGCGATCGATAAATATAGCAGCAATGAACGTTTTATCTTTCATGAAGCCATTAAAATTGATGTTGATAAATACAAGACCATTTTATTTGTATTTGACAAACAGCTGTTTGATTCTTAATTAATAATCATAATTTCATACTAAATTTTTAATTTTCCTATCATCTGTCTTTCTTTTTTCTTTGAAACATAAACACAATGTGTTGGTGCATTAACATAGGAATTAATAGAATGTAATAAATAGTTTAGTATTATACAGAAAGATTGATAATTGCAATTAAATTTAACAGGCTTATCTATTATGTAACTTTGTTTGCATAATATTATCGTTGCGATATATTATTCTCATAAGGACATTTAATTTACGTTATTATATAAAAACATGTATTAATATGTTTATAAACAAAATGCCGGTATTAATATCTTATATAAATTAAATTTGAAAAAATTGTGTAATACCGAATGACAAATTGGTTATTTATAAGTTCAATGATTTCTTGACGTACTAAGAATTCTTTAAAAAAAAAAAAAATCTCATTCACATCGCATTCAATTCAGTATATCAATTAATTATCTATTAACAAATAGAATATATATTATACAATAAGCAGAGATTGTTCAAAAAATTTCTTTTCTAAACTTATAATATTTTCTTTTATTTTTCCCTTTTTAATTAAAATTATAAAACTTTCAATGTATGTATTAATGTATGGAGTTTCCATTCATTCGGATAAGTAAATATAGTTAAATATAGGCTCGGTGTCTATTGTCAAAAAAACAAAAATTATTTCTCAAATCATCGTTTTAACGCTTAAAAATGACAATAACCATTGCTGGTTATATCCTTGGTAATGAGATTTCACATATTTAAAGATAAAATAACAAGTATTCATAGCTATTTGTGAGAATTTAAAAATGTATCAGCGCAAGCGTTTATGTTGAATTTAAATTAAATTTGATCATCGATGTCTTGAAAAATTAAAAAAAAGTACTTTTTAAAAATGTATTCTGTGAATAATCGCATCGATCGCATTCTGTAACAAATATACTTCTAAAAACAAAAAACAAATCGCTATTATGTCCACGAGTAAAAGCAAGTTAATGTATTTAAAATACTGTCATTCATGTAATAGATATAATCTGCTTATCATTTTGATTGATGTCAAACGTGTCACGAGTGAATCCATTGAAATTTCTTGTCAAATATCCATATTACGCCACTATCGTTTAATACACGAAAACAGAAAAACTTACACAATTGGCTAAATATTATGCTTATAAGTCATTAGTAAATTCATAAATGGCATAACTGGGTGTATAAATATTAAAATAAAAAAAAAACACACACACATTAAATTATATTGAAAATCGGCTAAAATAACACTTGATACTGATCTATTATGATTAATTAATATCTTATATATATATATATATATAAGATATAATGTGTATATATATATATATATATATATACACATTTCATATATAATACATGTGATTCCAATTTATATTGATTTCACTCACTTATTAATAATCCGATAAACTTTTTAAATTACATTAGGTCAAATTTACATTAAATACGGGATTGTATATTATGAATATTCAAAGTTTTTTCTTAAATGCATCCAAATGGAAGTAAGAATAATTTCACCTGCAAAGATCATTGCGAATTTTCAATTTTACTACATAATAATACGTGAATAATAATAAATTCGAAATTTTATGTTTAACTTTATTATTGCAATACTTTATGTACAATATACGTATAAAATATACGCACTTTTTATAACTAACAATTACATTAATATAAAAGAAATTTTTTTTTTTTTTTTTTTTTTTTTTTTTTTTTTTTAATTCTTAATTCATAATATTTGTTTCAGGAACATAAAGCATTTTGTATTAACTTAAACTCGTAATGATTAGGCACTTTTAAATATGTATTATTTATTATTTTTACATTCTCTATAAATTGACGGTACACATTTATTATGAGCTAAAATTGTAAATAATGTCATAAGATAAAAGAATTCAAAATAATTATACTAGCCACTGAAGAAATACTTGTATAATTGTATGTTATAGAGCAATGATCATTTATAGGCATAAATTGTAATCGTTAGGGGAATAATTATTGTGTATTAAATTGAAATAATAACACTAATTAAAACAGTGAATCAGTCATTAATTATCGTTCAAAACTTATTATTACGTATTTTAATATTCATACTTTACAGCGAAGCTGAGAAGCGAAAATTTTTGTTATCGATGTTTTCTATTTAAATTTAAATTGACGTCCAAATCCAATTTACACTAACTGAATTTGCGATAAGAATTCACAACACACGTGCATACTTTTTCGTGGAAAAGATTGAATTGTCGAGAAATTGATCATACAAGCTGTTACAATTTTACACGATGCATTTACCATAAATTCTCTTGTAACAATCAATGGCAATAATTGTAAATAATCGTACAATTTGCCGAATTTTACATTAAGTAGGTTAACGAATTACGCACTGTTCGCTAAGTATTTTAAAGAAAAGTAAAAAAGTTGTAAATAAAAAAATTATTTACAACCAACACTTCACAACCAACCATACTTTGATCCTGTGACTGTTCATTTCTTTCATTTTCCGAATGTCTGATTGATACGCGAACGATATATTGTTATTACTCTATTTATCAATGTTAATTATATTTTTCCCATAGAGTATCAAGATTTAATCGAGAAACGATTCTAT